ATTAATTTTTATCTGATATGTATGATTGTTCTTATTCCCTGTTTGCTTGTTTGATTTGTAATATGTATCTGATTGTTTGATCATTAATAAATTAATTTTTATCTGATATGTATGATTGTTCTTATTCCCTGTTTGCTTGTTTGATTTGTAATATGTATCTGATTGTTTGATCATTAATAAATTAATTTTTATCTGATATGTATGATTGTTCTTATTCCCTGTTTGCTTGTTTGATTTGTAATATGTATCTGATTGTTTGATCATTAATAAATTAATTTTTATCTGATATGTATGATTGTTCTTATTCCCTGTTTGCTTGTTTGATTTGTAATATGTATCTGATTGTTTGATCATTAATAAATTAATTTTTATCTGATATGTATGATTGTTCTTATTCCCTGTTTGCTTGTTTGATTTGTAATATGTATCTGATTGTTTGATCATTAATAAATTAATTTTTATCTGATATGTATGATTGTTCTTATTCCCTGTTTGCTTGTTTGATTTGTAATATGTATCTGATTGTTTGATCATTAATAAATTAATTTTTATCTGATATGTATGATTGTTCTTATTCCCTGTTTGCTTGTTTGATTTGTAATATGTATCTGATTGTTTGATCATTAATAAATTAATTTTTATCTGATATGTATGATTGTTCTTATTCCCTGTTTGCTTGTTTGATTTGTAATATGTATCTGATTGTTTGATCATTAATAAATTAATTTTTATCTGATATGTATGATTGTTCTTATTCCCTGTTTGCTTGTTTGATTTGTAATATGTATCTGATTGTTTGATCATTAATAAATTAATTTTTATCTGATATGTATCTGATTGTTCTTATTCCCTGTTTGCTTGTTTGATTTGTAATATGTATCTGATTGTTTGATCATTAATAAATTAATTTTTATCTGATATGTATCTGATTGTTCTTATTCCCTGTTTGCTTGTTTGATTTGTAATATGTATCTGATTGTTTGATCATTAATGAATTAATTCTTACTTTATCCACCCAAAAACAAAACAAAGAAAAAGGTTACACTTGAATGTTGTACTGTGCAAATAACTATGAATATAACTAAGGAAAATTCTAATATATATAGCTTTAAAAAAAGTGTATCATATATATTTTTAGTTATTTTATTTTATTTTTTAGTTATGATTAATTTTATTTTTTAGTTATAATTCATGAGTTCTTTAAATATGACTCATATTGTATTTACTTGTGACTTTTTTTTTTTTTATTTTTTTTTTTTACACTATTCAGAAAATTGAAATTATATCGTTTTTCCTTTTGATTACAAAGTACATATTTTTATTATAAAATATATATAGTACACACTCTTCAAAAAAGTATGCACCATAGTATTTCCCATAACTAAAATAGTATTTCATTCGTGGACATTATTAATTAATTATATTAGCTTGGCATATAATTAGCAGCAAGAGCACCAATTTTATGAGGTTTTTCTTGTTCTCAATTAGTTCTATTGTTAGTGCGGGAGGGAATCATGTAACTCGCACTTGTGCCTTTTTGTTAATTTTTTAATTATCAACTTATTTATAACTTTAACACTCAAGAAAAAAAAAAATTTGTGTGGGCAATTAATTTTGAACTTATAATTTCTTGCAAGTTTTGATAATAATATGATAATAGAAGCCAGTACTGAGTGGTTTTTTCCACCAACTATCAATAGAAAATGATCACAATAATGTTAAATCATGGTATAGAGATAGGCAAACGCGATTGAGATCCTCTTCATTTTTAAATTACAATAATGTTAGGAATATTTATACATTTATTAACAATTTTACTAACATATTCATAAGTTTTGATAAGAACAACCATTACTTGGTATGAGACTTACATCAATCTATGAGTATATTAGTAAGATTGTCAGTATTCCTAGCATTTTTTTTTAAATTTATATTGATTGTTTGTTACAAGCTATTATATAGGAGAGGTGTGAGGTAAGTGAGTGGTGGTAGTGGATGGTAGTGGAGGTGGTGGGTGGTAGTGGAGATGGTAAGTGTGTTAGGTTTAGTGGGGTGGATGTAGTGGGTTAGGTTAGTGGGTTAGGTTTAGTGTACATTAACACTCTTCATTTTTAAATTACAATAATGTTAGGAATATTTATACATTTATTAACAATTTTACTAACATACTCATAAGTTTTGATAAGATCAACCATTACTTAGTATGGGACTTATATCAATCTATGAGTATATTAGTAATATTCCTAGCATTTTTTTTAAAAAATTATAATAAATAATTTCATTACATTATTTATAAATTTGTAATTTTTTCTTTAAATTTAGAATAGTAATAAATTCTTATAATTATTTCACAACTCTTAAACTATATGAGAAAGATTCTCTATTATAACCATATAATAGAGAGGATCTCAGTATGCAACAGTCTTCATCATAGCTATAGAACTACTTCGATGAGGATTTTGACTATTTTCAGATGAACTAGAAAGAATGGGAGAGTGCGCGGATCACGTGACGGCATAGTGAGTAGGAGTCGTTTGGTAAATGATTATTTTAGTCAAAAAAAAATCTTTAAAAAAATTCAATGTATACAAAAAGAATTAAGAGAAAATTACAACCAAAAAAAATATTTCAGAATTTGACCTTTATAACAAAATAAGAAATAAAAAAAATTAATCTAAACTATTATCTATTTCTATTAATGAAAACTGAAAAAAAAAATAATATTTTAGTCGCTAAAATTCATAAATAAAAAAAAAAAATAGTATTTAAGACATTTTATGTATATATATTAGTTTAATCACTAAAATACTTATTTTTTTTTTTTATCAATTTTACTTAACAGAAATATGCTAATGGTTTAAGTTAAATAAATCAAAAGAATATGATTTAAATTGACAAAATTAAATACACAAAATTTATTTTGTTACAACAGTCAGACTCTAAATTTTTTTATTTTCTCAAAAATTAAAGATTCATTCACTTTACTTTTTTAAATATTTTTTTATAAAAAGTTATTTCGAAACATATATACTCTTTTTTTTTCAAAAACTTTTATAATTTTTTTGTAAAAATAAAAAATAGTTTGACTAAAATAAATACTAAAAATGTATTTCTGAATTTTGAAAAATTATTTCTACACTCCAAAAAAGATAAAACTACATGGAAATGATGATTTATTTTATTTTATTTTTTTATTAAATTGATTTTTGTTTCATTTTTTTAAATTTTAAAAAACAAAATTTGAAAACTAAACCAAACAAAGCGATTGCTTTTTGTCATCTCATATTTTAACTAAAATGTCATTAAAAAAAGAAAAATGCTTGGGAGCACTAATTAGTGCTCCCACTAATTAGGTGGCAGTAAGTCTCGCCATTAATGATGTGATGTTTTGGTCTTGGAGTTGTATTTTTTTTTTTTTTACTTTTTTAATGCATTAGTGCTATTAGTGGTGATGTTTTTAGTTGGATGAATCATTATTGTTAAAAAAATCACTTCTAAACATGTCCTGAAATGAAAAATTATTAAAGATTATGTGATACAATAATATTACGTATCTATAAAAATTTACCCTTAAAAATATGTAAAAAAAATAATCTTGTAATTTAGATTAATTGCAAGATCCCACAACACATAATATAATATGTACAACACATCAATTTTTTGGTAAGAATCATCGTAAATTTTCTAGGTGAAATTTTTTTCTATTGTGCAATATAATCTTTGTCATACTGCGAGTGTCATGTCCATTCTCGACAAATAAGAAATCTCAATGCACACTAAGGTAATGTTTGATTACAGGGCCGGTTGGTGTAGCTATATCAAGTTAAAAATTGATAATTAAAAGACAAATGAGAAATCTTAATGCATACTAAGATGGTGTTTGATTATAGGGCAGGTTGGTGTCGTTATAACAAGTTAAAAATTGATAATTAAAAAATAAAAATTAAATATACCATTTTCTTAATTTCTAAATAATTAATTTTTCTAAATTTTTTTAAAGTTATATTTTGTCTAATAAACCATCAAATAGTTTAACAGAGACTTTCAGAATAGACAAAACTATAAACTTGTCAAATAAGGTGTACCAAACCGTCTCATAGAACTGCTTATAGCTTCTTCTTCTTTTTATTTTGAAATTTTGTGTGCAATTTCTACTTTCAATTTATGAAGTAAAAATAATTTAAATAAGCTAAAAAATTAATTATCAATAAACCAATGAAGGGATACTATTAACTTTTACTTTTAAATTATTAACTTTCAACTTTTGAAAATTTGCACCAAATAGATCATATGTGAATCATTGCTTGTGTTTTAACTACACAAAAAATATGAGTTACTATATCCCATTGGTAAAAATTTTCATTATGTAATTAGTTTGAAACACCATAATTGTAGATAAAATCAAATGGTGTTATGAGATAATTGAATAATTATTCTTAGTTACTCAAATTCATATTAAATAACCATTACTCATTTTCTTACATAGCCGTTATTCCTACTCCACTTTACTCCAAATACACACCATTCTTGTCCTTATTATATATTATGAGAGTAGAAAGAGAAGAGAAAAGATAACTCTTATATTCAATTGAATTATGAAATACGAGAAGCCTGTATATATAGGCTGAGAAAAAACCTAGATAAGTATAGAAAATGAGATAGAGATACATCAGAGATATAGATAGATAAGTATAAAACAATAATATATACATCTTACACCCCCTCCCCCTCAAGCTCAAGGTGGTAATGCAGATATCAAGTTGAGCTTGGAAAGTAAATCAAAAATCATCTTGGAGAATGAGCCTTGGTGAAGATGTCAGCTGTCTGGCCGGCAGAGATAACAAAGATAAGACGAACAATGCCACTAGTAACTTGTTGCCAAATGAAGTGACAATCAATCTCAATATGCTTGATGCGATCATGGAAGACACCATTATATGCAATCTAAATAGCACTTTGATTGTTACAATAGAGGGTAGTGGCAGCAAGATGGGGAATTCTCATATCAATAAGAAGCCAACGAAGTCACACAAGCTCTTGAGTAGTATCCACAAGAGCAAGATACTCAGCATCAGTACTAGAACGAGCAACAAGAGTTTGCTTCTTGCTATGTCAGGTAATGAGAGAATCACCCAAGAAGAAGTAGAACCCTGTAGTAGAGCGGCGGTTAGTATGATCCCCGACCTAATCTGCATCAGAAAATGCATGTAACTGTAGAGAAGAGTGTTAAATTAGTGAAGACCATGGAACATAGTGCCGTTTAGATAGCGCAAAATACAAACTAGAGCATCATAGTGTGGAGAACAAGGAGCATCCATGAACTGACTGACAATGTGAACAGTATAGGCAATGTCTGGATGAGTAACTGTGAGATAGACAAGACTACCAAGTAGCTGACAATATAAAGTAGCAGCAGATAATAGGTGACCATCAAGAGGTGTGAGATGAGTCTGAGGATCAACTGGAGTAGTAGCAGTCTTGCAATCGGTAAGACCAACATGAGTCAAGAGATCAGAGATATACTTGGCCTGGGTTAGAAAGTAACCAGAATGATCATGAGAAATTTCCAAGCCAGGGAAATAGCTAAGCAAACCCAAATCTTTCATCTCAAACTGGTGAATGAGGAACTGTTTGAGACTAGAGATACCCACTATGTCATCGCCAGTGATGATCATATCATCCACATAGAGAAGAAGAAGAAAAAGAAGAAGAAGAAGAAAAAAAAAAAGAAAAGGAAGAAGAAGAAGACGAAGAATACCACGCTCTGTCTGACATATAAACAAGGCAAAATCATAGGCACTAGATGAGAAGCCAAAGTCATGAATGGTAGCACTGAACTTGGCAAACCAGGCATGAGGAGCTTGTTTCAAACCATACAAAGCACGGCGA